TTTTTTTTATGACAATTATTTTTGCTTAAAGTATTTGTGTGAATACTGTATATTGTGAAAATCGTATAGTGATACGTTATGTGTGTGTATATATATATATATATATATAGACTCATGAACTCTTTTGTTATATGTTTAGATGTCAGAGTATAGTATGCCTCGTACTCGGAGATCTGGACAGGCTGAACCACAATCAGATGCTACCTGAGCCGCAGCAGGCTCCCCAATACCTTATTGATCTTATGGCTCCCTTAGTCGCTAGGATAACAACCATCGAGGAGCTTGTGGCGAATCATATTGCACCACCACCATCAGTAGCTGAAACCGCCATTTCTCAAGGAAATGGGACACCTAAGTTTCAGAAGAACAAGGAAGGGCACCCCGGAGATAAGGGTAAGAATAAGAGACCTTGGTTTGGGCCTCAGCAGCAGCAGGGTCCTCATAAGAAGGGATCCCAACAGGATCAGAGAGAACAGCAGCAGCAGCAGCGCAAGTTCCGGGGAACTTGTTTTAACTGTCGCAAGGTTGGACACAAGGCATTAGAGTGCCGCAGTGCACTAACAAGAACTCAGAAGGGAAATGGTCTAAATCAGCAGTAGCAGAAGACTGAGGGACATGTTCTAGCAGTTCAGGAGGTTTCCCAGGGGCAGATTGTCCCATATTCTCCAACACCAGCGACGGAGCAGTCTTCATCCACCGGCAGAGTATATGCAGTAGTTCCGCATGATAATGGAGCAAGCAGATCAGTTGTGGAGGGTACGTCCCACATAAATCCTTTTCCCGCCCGTATTCTTTTTGATTCGGGAGTTTCGTGTTCTTTCATTTCGTACGCTTTTATGACTAGACTCCAAATCGTAGCTCAGCCTCTAGACATTCCATTATTGGTTTTCCATCCCTTTAGGTAGGGTATCGCTTCTGGAGAGCGTTTGTAGGATGTGTATTATTAGTCTAGGTGAGTCGGAGTTTGTCATAGATTTGATAGTGTTGCATGTGTCCGAGTTCGATGTCATCCTTGGTATGGATTGGTTGTCATCCTACCATATTAGTATTGCCTGTTTTGGCAAAGACAGTCAGATTGCGAGTGGCGAGCGTCCGATGGGTCCGAGATGATTGTGGCCACTTCTCAGGGCAATCGCTTTGCGGAGTCATTTCTGGCGTTCATCGACGAGGTGATGCTGCGGGATCAGAGTTCTGATTTGTTAGAGACTCGAGTTGTCTCGGATTATCAGGATGTCTTTCAGGACATACCTGGGTTACCTCCTGTGAGAGAGGTTGAGTTTTGTATTGAGTTGCAGCCGGGCACAGCCCCGATATCCCGCGCACCCTATCGCATGGCGCCAGCTGAGATGAGAGAGCTTCAGACCCAGTTGGACAAATTGTTAGCTCAGGGTTTATTTGTCGGAGTTATTCTCCGCGGGGCTCGCCGGTCCTCTTCGTGAAGAAGAAGGACGGCAGCATGAGATTGTGTGTTGGATAGTTGAACAGATCACTATTCAGATTTAATAGGATTTATAACCTGTTCAATCAGCTGCGCGGAGCGCAACATTTCTTGAAGACTAATCTTCGATTTGGATTTATTATGGTTGCGAGTTCGAGAGATGGATTTCTCCCAACGTCGTGTTTTCCTGATTCGATATGAATCTTTTGAGTTTCTGGTCACTCCATTTGGGTTGACCAATGCACCCGCTGTATTCGCGTATTTTATGAACCGGGTTTTCCGTTCCTTCATGGATCGGTTCGTGATAGTATTTGGTTATGCTGAAGGTATCACCTATGAAAGGCGTGCAGCGATTCGGGAGGCGAGGGAAGCTTGCACCGAGATACATTGGACCATTCCGGATTTTGGAGCGCATTAGAGTTGTGTCATACAGACTAGATCTTTCAGCTTCTATGTCTAGTATACACAATGTATTCCACATTTCTATGCTCAAGAAGCACTTGCATGATGAGGAGCGGCAGCGAGTATTGGATGAACCGGAGATTGAGCTTCAGGCTAATTTATCGACTATTGAGATTCCAGTGTCCCTACTTGCTAGAGAAGACAAGAGACTAAGGAACAAGGTTAGTTCTTGACTTGGAGCCGCCAACGACGGAGACAGGGATTCGTAGTTTTTCGGGTTTGGCCGGCTATTACTAGAAGCTTATCCAGGATATTTGTGGTCTACATAAATACATCATTGGCAGAGTTAGGAGACGTTTTGATGCAGACTCAGAGAGTAGTAGCTTATATCTCACGGCAGTTGAGAGTGCATAAGCAGACCTATTTCCACTTAAGACTTGGAGTAGCAGCAGTGGTATTTGCATTGAAGTCATGGAGACTTTACTTATATGAAGTACAGTATGAATTATTCACAGACCATCAAAATCTGAAGTATCTTTTCTCCCAGAAGGAAATCAACCAGAGACAAAGGAGGTGAATCGAGTTTACCAAAGACTACGAATTCGCGAATCAGTACGTTCTAGGACCCCTAAGATGTGCAAGGGCCTAAAAAGACACTTTTGGATGAAGTGATATGCGTAGGAAGATTCCAAATTTATGTAGCTAAGTATCTTACCTGTCAATAAGTAAAAGCGGAACATCAGAGACCAGCAGGATCACGTCACCTTTAACCATTTCTAAGTAGAGTGGAAGGACAGTTCGATGGATTTTATCGTAGGGATTTCTGAAATAAGAGAAAGAGAATGATTCGATTTGGATGATAGTGGATAAATTGATGAAGTCAATACATTTTTATTTCAGCAAGGACTAACTATACAACTGAGACGTATGCAAGGATACTCATTCAAGAGACTATTCAACTTCATGGAGTTTGAGATTTCAGTGTTCACTCTGCATTTTTGGAAAAGTTTACAGGATTTCTTTTGAGTAACAGATTTATCTTTCTGTAATGTATTTTATTCACGGACAGATGGTCACACGGAAAGAGTAAATTAGATATTTGAAGACAGGTTGCGGAATTGTGTCGTTGACTTTCAAGGTAGCCGAAGGATCATATTCCACTGATAAAGTTCGTCTAGGACATCCATTAACAAGCGACAATCGGTATGACCTTGTATGAAGCAGCGTGCGGGAGACATTTCAGAATCGATTATATGCTGGGTAAAGCCGGAGAAAGGTTCAATACGTACACCAGCGCTTATGAGACATACTACTAAGAAAGTAGCGTTGATCAGGGAGCGGATTCTAGCCGCTCAGAGTCGGCAGAAGAGTATGCAGATAAGAGGCGAAGACCCCTCGAGTTTCAGATTTGGGGATTTGGTTGTGCTGAAGGTGTCGCCTATGAAAGGCGTACCACGATTTGGGAGGCGAGGGAAGCTTGCACCGAGATGCATTGGACCTTTCCGGATTTTGGAGCCCATTAGAGCTGTGCCATACAGACTAGATCTTTCAGCTTCTATGTCTAGTATACACAATGTATTCCACATTTCTATGCTCAAGAAGCACTTGCATGATGAGGAGCGGCAGCGAGTGTTGGATGCACCGGAGATTGAGCTTCGGGATGATTTATCGACTATTGAGATCCCAGTGTCCATACTTGCTAGAGAAGTCAAGAGACTCAGGAACAAGGTGATTCCATTGGTGAAAGTTCAATGGAACAGAAGTGGAGTTGAGGAAGCTTCTTGGGAGCGCGAGGAGGACATGCGACGCGACTACCCACACTTGTTCGAGAAGGTAAAACTAATTAAAGTATTTATTATATGACTTCTTACTTGTATATTTATATCTATATATGTTGATACTTATATTTAACACTAGAATGAGGGTATTTTCACTTAATTCTTAATCTTTCGGAACACAGGTATATACATCGGGGGTTCCTTGTTTGGATTTTTCGCCCGACGTACTAGTTCCGTTAGATTTGGGGTTAAGTAAGAATATTATCATTTTAGATCGTTAAGTATGAATGTCACTATGTGCTAACTAGCATTCATTATTGCGAAATGTACATGTGAGCGGGTTAGATTAGACCCTTGTCATGTTTTTCAAGTATCTTTATGAGTTAGATGTGACTTCCTGAATTTCGAGGACGAAATTCTTTTAAGGGGGGAAGAATGTAAGACCCCGTAGATTTTTGAGTATGTATATGTACACCAGTAATGAGGTTGAGTGTGCAAGATTTCAAATCATATGCAGCTGAGTCATAGTATGTAGTTTCTAGCCCATGAGTCGACCCATGACTGTCATGAGTCGACTCACGAAATCGAGTCCTGTTGCCATTTAGTCTCTGTTGAGTCGACTCAAAATATGATGAGTCGACCCATAAGTCATGAGTCGACCCATGACTGTCATGAGTCGACTCATCGGGGTCTTTCTGGTTTTTCTGGGTCGGGTCTGTTGGGTTTCGGGTCGGGTTTTATCCACTCGTATATATTCCCCTCTACCCGAAAACACTTCATTTTCATCAGTTCTCCCCAGAAACCCTAGACTCTCTCTCTCCTCTCTAAAACCCTAGGCGTTCTTGGTGATTTTGGGACGTTTCAAGGGATTTTTCGGCAGTTTCTTTTGGATTGCAGCGAAGGGGATTGTTCATCATCACTTCTAAGGCGAGTAACATCTCGCCCAACCCTTCTCCCATGTTTTTAATAGTTTACAACTGTTTTCCATAAGTTTTATTGAGCCTAAGACTTATTTTCAAGTATAAATCAATATCCTTGTTAGGGTAAATGCTAGAAATCATGTATTTCGGATTTAAATCCCCACCAGCAAGTTTTTGATGAAAACCCAGATCTGGAATTTTATTTAAGAATCATGTATTTCGGATTTAAATCCCCACCAGCAAGTTTTTGATGAAAACCCAGATCTGGAATTTTATTTAAGGAAATAAAAATATAAGTTTTATGTTGATTAAATGCTCTCTTTCATGTTTAGGGGTTAAATGTTAGGTTTAACATGCAAGTAATCTTTTCTCATGCCATGTACGAATTCTTTCACTGCCTCATAGTTTAGAATTGATAGTTAAGGAGGCGTAGATCAGTATAGTGGAAGTATGGATCGAGATGGACGAGTTGCAGTTGTGATACATGCAGTTTTCAGCCCGTAAGTCGACTCACGACTCATCACGAGTCGACTCATCAGGTTGAGTCAACCCCATGACTATCATGAGTCGACTCACGAAGTCTAGTTGTGTTGCCTTTTTACTTCTGCTGAGTCGACTCGTCAGTATACGAATTGACCCATAAGTCATGAGTCGACTCATAACTAACCATGAGTCGACTCACGAAGTCATTTCCTGTCATCATATATTTTCTGCTAAGTCGACTCGTAACAAATCATGAGTCGACCCATGAGACATGAGTTGACTCATAACTGAGCACGAGTCGACTCATCGAAGTCTTTCTTGTCTTATTTGTGTTTCTGTTAAATCACCTGCTGTGTGTATATATATATAGAC